TATATATATTTTATTTTTTTACCAAAAACATCCAGAAACGCATCAAAAACGCGGCACAACCCACTGCACTGCGTGTGCAGAAACTCATGCAGATCTGCTCTGCATTTGGTGTGAACAAGGCCTTAGAGGTGAGCCTATTAGCACTCCTCTCCACCTTTTGCAAAGTCTTTTCCCTTGCACTGAAATCAATAAAAATCAAGGCTGCCCGGTACTTTAAGAAAATCAATTAACCAAATGAAAAGCTTCCACTGAGCGTGTAGATAATACCTGCTATTTCTGGATTTGGTGAACTCACTGCCCTACTGGTGCTTGGCAATTGGCCCATTGCTGTCACATGCGGAAGAAATACTCGGCCCTGTGTATGCTCCAACTAAAGTGACTCACGGCTTATATAGGGTTTTCTTTCCTTGGGAGGGAAGGTCAGTGTTTGCAGTGGGGGAGAAGACATTCAAGCAAATCCGTTGCTTTGCCTTGCATGGGTGAAAAACAGGTTTTGTTTTGAGTGAATTTGACCACGTACATAAATTTGGGCTTTGTTCTCTATATGCCAGAATTGATATTTAGTCCTAGCTCAGCACTAGGTCCCTACTTTATTAATATGGCAGTAGAGGTCTTGTTATGCTGCAGCCATGGCCAAGCCATGGCTTCTCATTGGATAAAGGTAAAACGTTCTGCTGCTGGCTACTGTAGACAATAGGAGGGCCCTAAAGTAGTCCGCCTGTCTATGTGTAGAAAACAAGGGTGGGACAAGATTTTGGTTGGCAAAAAGGGTCAGGAGCCAGTGAAGGTCAGGACTATTGGTGAACATTTTTGTAATGCTTCCAACCACCACCAAAATAAATATGGACCCCCTTTGGGTATGTATAGGCAGAGAAGACAAACGGGTAAATTTCGTTAAGGATGCTCTACTTAAAACTAATGAGGGTACAAAGGCTATCAAGGAAAAGAAATTGACTCATTCACTGTTACATGTTCTTAGTTAACACAGCAGTGAATGGCCAATGCACTAAGCAGTTGTATGACCCATGAGAACATTTGTTTCCCATGTAAAAATGTCCTCAGGAGAGGAAGCAGCCACAGCCATGGCTATCATGCAGGAAGATAAACCTTGCGAATCATCATGGGTTGTGCTGTATTCCTTCCATAATCCTCTGTGTAGAGGCCTCTGGTTCTGTGGCAGTGAAGGCCACCTCATTCAGATTTCCTCCCTTGACACAAGCACCCATTGCATGTCGACAACCTATGACCCTTTTGGGCATGGTGGATTATCGAAGTATCAGAAGCCAGAGGCAGATTATTGTAAATGACATGACTGGAATATAACTTTTCTTTGTGGTTCCACAGGTCAGGACAGCTCTGGCTCGAGGAGACATTATGTCAGCAGAAATTGCCTCACGTGAAGCTCGGAATTTCTCCTTCATTAGCCTGGCTATTGGGATCGCTGCCATGGTCTTGTGCACCATCCTCACAGTGGTTATTATCATCGCGGCTCAGCACCATGAAAATGATTGGGGTAACTGATTTATCCTTATGGCACCTGCGGGGCAACTGAAGGACAGCCCAGTCCACCAGGACTTCTATGTGCCCTCGACACTTTCTAAACTCTACTCTCTTCAGTTCTGATTTGGACTCATTTTTAAATCTCTTATGTTTTCAATGTCTTCCTTTCTATTTTTGTTCAGTTCTTCCTTTGCCCCCTTCCATATTGCTCTCTTCTTTCACCATAATTCTTCATCGTCTCATTGATTTACTCTCTTCGCTTTTCTAGTTTGGATACCTCTTCTTTGTTGGCCATCTTGTCTTTTCATACCAGCTCTTCTCTTTAGCTTTTTCCCATCCACCACAGTGCTCTTTATCTCCCGTCCTTTTCCCCGTCCACTCCGTCCCCCAATCCCCTCTCCCTTGTTCTAAGTAATACAGGTGCCATCTTGGGTGTTATGGGGTAAAATAGGGGTAAAATAGGAGTTTCATGGGATATTTTTCAGCTACGAGTTAAGGGTGTGGAATACCGTTCAGCTGAGAAATAAAGGAAAGGAGATAGCCAAATCTTTGCTGTGACATTTCAAGTGTCACAAAATAAAAGGGAAAATAGGTGGACTATGAGACTTGTAGCCCATCGGTGAGGCAAATTGGAAGCCAGGAAAACTTAAGACGTGAGTGGAGTGTGTGGAGAAGAGTTATAGAGTGAATGGAAAGGAGGTGACGGGCTCTTAGACAGCAAGGCAGAAACGAACAGAGAGGGGCATATTCTGCAAACCACAATAAAGAAAAATGGAGGTGTTCCTACTGCAACCAGTCACATTATAATGGTTATAGAACTAAAGCTCGAATTTGATTGGTTGTTATGTTCATCTTCCTTTTCTTCTATTGCTTGAGCTTTATATATCGTATCAAACTCAGTGGCTTTTTATTCATCAAGCTGCAATAGCATATAGCGCACCTAAAAGGGCACAAAAGACATGCAAAAGTGACCTCTCAACCAGTGTCATCCTATGTCATCTTTCTCAAGCCCCAAACTCTTGTATGAGAATACTTTTTAGGGAACGTTAAGTAAAACAGGATTGCATTTTGTTTCTTGCAAATATGCAGTTTCCCCCTTACTTTTTTTTCTCCCTGTGCTGTCCACAGCCTTTAGGCTTCTTGTATGAACTTCCTGTGGTTATGTGCATGCTACAGCAGCAGCTCAACCTCACAGTTTTAGGGCCGGTGCAGACCTGGGCGATCCGGGACCGATTCGTGCACAGTTGCACACAGCGATTGCAGCACGGCCCCATTGATTTCAATGGGGTTACAGCCGCGTGGCAATCGCAGAAAAAGGGTACGTGTACCTTTTTTTGCAACTTACGATAGCGGCTGTTTTAGCCGCAATCGTGTTCGGTTGCATGGGCGGAATCGTTGCGGGAAAAACCTGGTGCAACTGGCATGCCATTAAAAAGTAATGGCACCACCAGTGCGATCGTCAAAGGTGGGCGACTCCATGATCGCACGGCAATCCGCGCTGTATCGTGCACGGTTGCCGTGCGGTCAGGGATCGTCCAGGTGTGAACCTGGCCTCACAGCACAATGTGCCGGCAAGGCTGCTTGTATTACAACTCAGGAGGCCTCCGAAAAGCATGATAATGCAAGGATTTCACTTTTGACATTATTATTATTATACAGGATTTATATAGCGCCAAGGAAGACATTACAATCACAATACAATTCAAGACATGATGGTAAGAAGGGCCCTGCCCGTGAGGGCTTACAATCTAAAAGATTACAATATTGTGTGCAACAACAAATTTGGTTTAAGTGTTTTAGTTCAAGTGCTATTTTACAGTCCTTTCAGTGATCCTGTCATTAGAAAAAGCAGGCAAAACGGCAAAAGAAATGACTGGACACCTTTCCTGCTGGTCGGTTTGAGTGAAATCCTCTGCTGAAGTTTGCTGGGAAACCAGCACTTCCAGGAGCACTTCCAGGAGCATCAATCTTCTTGGTCTCCAAGACACAGGGCACAGTGGTAGTGTTCTAGTGGCATGGGCAGCGGGAAAGGGAAGTACTCAGTCTCTTGATATTATATCTGTTTTGGATTTTTTACTATTTAAATGACAAGGTCACTTTAAGCAGTAATGCAGCTAGATGAATTAAGGCCCGTGTCTGCTAAATAAAGACACAAAGCGTTTGGTGACCCCAGCAATAGAAGGTGACCATCAAATGTTGATGGGCACCTGTCCTGAAAGGGGTAGCCATTTTGTTGGCTGGCTGGCTAGCTCCAGTATTTCCAAACGTATAGCAGTTCAATAAAACACCAGCTCTAGATAGGAGCAACAAGTCCTCTTAACGCTGAAGTTTATATGCTTAGCCTTGACAATGTGACATACTCCCAGTCTGGACAAAAGCCTCAAAATAAAAAAGGAGTTAGTGCATTGTGCTGCATTATTTTGTTGGATGGGAGTGATCTTACTTTCTAGTAAGATTTGATTTTGGATCGGTTTGCCTTCCATTTGGTTTTCTTTCCTCCTGCACATAACACTAACCTTTCTGTAGAATAAACTGCGGCTCATGCAATCAGGATAAAGAGGGTTGTATTTTTATATGCTAGATAATTTAAGGAACGTTGGTTTATTCGGGAAGGACATGTGTGCAAAGTTCAGGAGCAGCCAAATATCTCCTTTTGTGAAGCTGGCCAGCTTGGCATCTCTTCTGTGCATGGCGAGTGATGCCATGTTGTACAGTGGGCAGGCAGATGGGATCTAGAAACTGGAAAAAAAAATTATTTGCACTCAGCTGCAAACTTTTAATTTCTTGCGGCTAAATGTGATCATTAAGAAGCAGACTACGCATGTTATGGTTTGATTCCCAGGCTCAGTCCCTAAAAATTGTAGCCATTCACTCTTCAAGTAATTGAAATTAAGCGATTGTGTGTGACCAATTGCGTCAAAAAAAGTTTGACGTTCTGTTGGAGTCAGTGATTACGTCACAGATACCTTAATCCTTCCCCTCCTTACCCAATAGCAGCTCCATTTGTGTTTCATAATCCTAAAAGGAGAGGCAGCCAAGACTGGTATTTAGCTCTTTATAGGTTCCAACAGTTGAATCAGTCAACTCTTTCAGGGAGTCTGTTGGTTAGATGGTGGCAGTGGTGGTTCCCAGATCTTCACTTACAGTAGCCATGTCAATGGGGCCTGTTGGAAGTTTCAGTACGATAGTTGGTGGAAAATGCATCAGGATGATCTAGACTTTGGGGCAAAGACATTTTACCACTCCTGGAGGAGTATCTAAAAAGTCAATGAGTGATTCAACTCACCAGCATCTATCTACAACTGATATATCAGTTATGGGCAGAGTTGGCATGTGAAGAGGACCTCAGCTTTCAGTCAAAAAGTAGAAAACCTGTTTACATGCCCCATCATCCGGTTGGCTTATAAACCCTGGCTACCACTGCTATAGGCTCCGTGAAGCCTGGCCACACAAAGCATCAATGTCTTTCTAGGCTGGAAATATCTTTCTAGGCTGCATGGAGCCAATGGCAGTGGTAAATATTGACTTATCGGTCTACTTTTTACCTAAGACCGGAAACAAAGCATTGCTAGCTGATGTAATAACACCATTGGGTTCTTATAAGGTTCAACAGGATCAGAAATGGGTTCTATAGATCTACAAATCCTGCAAGCACTGACAACAAGGAGAGAGCAGTACACACTGGGACTTGCTGTTTCAACTGAAATAGCAGGTCCCAGTTGACCTTAGAATATCAGGCCTACTTAAACATGTCTGAAGGAAGCACGTGTATCCATAGCAACTGAATTCACCCTTTTGTCCTCCATCATTGCACTAGAATCATGAAAGCCAAAGTCTGATTGGGCACTATGATCAACAGCAGTTGTTCTCGTTTCAGACGGTTACAGTCCTGTAGCTTGGTCTCATTTAAAATGATCTCTCATAAACTACCCAGTTGGGACACATTGCTGACACTATAATAAATTGGTTCTTCTGCTAACCCTAATGTGGAGATATTTTTGGAATGTTTCCGTCAGCGCTTGATACATTTAGGTCAGACATGATGTGGGGGATGGTGAGGGCTCACGAGAAACAGACAGAAGGAATTACAGCAAATTAACACCCATATTATCCTGTGATTACCTATATGGAACCAAGTGCCAGATGGGTAGAAAATAGGATGAGTGCTGGACTGATATATGACAACTAAGAAAGAGGTAGGGCTATTGGCATTGCCAGTGGAGACCAGTAAGAGTAGGGTTGGATTTACACCTTTCTGTGTGCCATTTCATACGTTACCAAATAGCAGGTGTTTTCATGTGCTGCCATTGTCATCAAAAGGACCTATAACAGGGGTAGGCAACCTTGGCACTCCAGCTGTGGGGAAAATAAAAATCCCATGGTGCTTCTGCCTATGAGAATCATTTCTGTGGCTGTCAGAGCCTTGCAATGTTTCATGAGACTTGTAGTTTCACCATAGCTGGAGTGTCGAGGTTGCCTATCCCTGCCCTATAACATGTGTTTATGTAACAAAAAAATCAACGACCATCAACGCATCATACCAATATGAACTATCGCCATGTAAAACAATTCCTAACCTGTTTACCTGTATTGATGTATTAAATGCAATGTAGATAGACACTTAAAGGTCTACTTCACTCAAACCTGATCTTGCAGCTTAGTGTAGTACCAATTCAAATTGCATGCTGATATGCTTGGGTTGACCCAGTGGATGCTCCATTATACAGAATAAATAAATGGGGAATTTAGCTGTGAGATTGTGACCCCTTCCCTCTGGCCTTGAGTGATGGGATGGAGGTAAAAAAAAATACTGCAGGGTGGGCTCACCAATGAACCTGGTGGATGATTTCATTCTAGAGTCCTAGAATCATAATAGCTAATATAGGTAGAGCTGGCCTTTAAAGTGTATCTCCAACCAAAACCTTTGGTTACTCCCCACTATGGCCCTGTTGGGAACATTTCCCCCATCTTCCTTTCCTGATGACAACATGTCAACAGAATAACCCTAACTTTCTGAGATGAGAAAAAAGGTCATTTAATACTTTCAGTGAGCACCACAGGGGTTCAGTACAGTGGCTTGGTGGTTTGCACTTATGCCTTGCAGCATTGGTTATAGGTTCAAATGGGCATCTTCTAACACTCCAAAGGCATGCAGGTAGGTAACCCTGCTGGTGGTTGACCCTAGTATGTCTGGCAGGCGCTGGTGGTTGACCCTAGTATGTGTGGCAGCTGCTGGTGGTTGACCCTAGTATGTGTGGCAGGTGCTGGTGGTTGACCCTAGTATGTGCGGCAGGGGCTGGTGGTTGACCCTAGTATGTGCGGCAGGGGCTGGTGGTTGACCCTAGTATGTGCGGCAGGGGCTGGTGGTTGACCCTAGTATGTGCGGCAGGGGCTGGTGGTTGACCCTAGTATGTGCGGCAGGGGCTGGTGGTTGACCCTAGTATGTGCGGCAGGGGCTGGTGGTTGACCCTAGTATGTGCGGCAGGGGCTGGTGGTTGACCCTAGTATGTGCGGCAGGGGCTGGTGGTTGACCCTAGTATGTGCGGCAGGGGCTGGTGGTTGACCCTAGTATGTGCGGCAGGGGCTGGTGGTTGACCCTAGTATGTGCGGCAGGGGCTGGTGGTTGACCCTAGTATGTGCGGCAGGGGCTGGTGGTTGACCCTAGTATGTGCGGCAGGGGCTGGTGGTTGACCCTAGTATGTGCGGCAGGGGCTGGTGGTTGACCCTAGTATGTGCGGCAGGGGCTGGTGGTTGACCCTAGTATGTGCGGCAGGGGCTGGTGGTTGACCCTAGTATGTGCGGCAGGGGCTGGTGGTTGACC